TGGAGCCTAATATTTCCCCAAAAGTAGCAAGGTCACTCTCAGAGATCACACTGGCTATCGATATCTCATCAAAAAATTGTATGATCTGCTCATACTTCAAGAACATTGCAAACGCTCTTACCCTGTTGAATCATGTCCACCCATAGACAAAATTGAAATAGGACTAGTTATTGGAGTCACTATATTAAATGCCAACCACACTTAAATCAGGGTGACGCTGCTATCTGAACTCGGGTCTTTTTCAACTACCTACTATCTCGGTCCCTGATTGAAAATATCCAGGTCATGACACCACTTAAAGAATTTCTTTCTTTTAAAAATAAATAGTTTAGTGTAGCCTCAGAAGCAATTTTGCAATTCTTGAAGGTGAATTACTAAAATCTCCAACACAATTATATCTGCAGTTAAATGCTTTAACACTTCGATTAACTCCAAACTCATTTGTAATTAACAAAATTCTCTTCCAACAATGAACAAAATCGAAATGTAGATTTCCACACTCCACAATAAGCAAAGTTCCAATATATGCATTAAATGGCACTCTTGCAGACCAAAATAATTGTACAAGAGAAACTACATTCTTTAAAGTCAAATATTTGAAGTGAAGAAAACATGAGAGCTACGACTCGTCCGTAAATGAAATGCTCTAATCAAAAGATATAGAAGACAAACCTATATTTGGCATAATCAGCTTCTAAAAAGCCCACAAGAACAGGTATTCCACGGTTAGCAATAAACATTTGCAACGTCAAGGAACTGTAAACAAAGCAATCATCAGTTAAGGTGTGCAATTTTTCATGTCATCAACATAAAAACCCAGAGCCATAATCTCTATACCTCGACTGACAAAGCTGCTGAAAGAAGCAAGCTGCTTCCATACGAATTTCTCGAGGACGATCGGGGGCAGCAAAACTCATTACGACAGGGATCTATGAGACAATTAAACAATACAAGTTGAGAAAGTTACGCCCCAGTATCAAGAAAACTTTTGTTTGCAGCATTTACTTTCAGAATTACTAAACATTTATTTTATCAATATTTAAAGTAGAACCAGAAGTTTAACTGTAAGTAACACTTACAAGGCCAACAAGACAAGCATTTTATTGGGAATATGTGTTACCTTTAAATAAATACAAGTTGAGCAAAATGGTTTAGCCCCAGTATCAATAAAACCATTGTTTGCAGTCTTTACTTTTCAGAATTATTAAAATTTACTTACAAATTTCTTTTGTTTCTAGTTTCTTTTTGGTGTACCCATGAGCTTCCTATTAGTTTAAAAGATTGGGTTTATGTTGTAGAGAACCAAGTTTTGGTGTAGGTTCTCTATTTTATGGTATATGGCTTATATATGGGGTTTCCCCCATTTCTTAACAAAAAACATTTATTTACATTATTCAAAGTAAAATCAGAAGAATAAATGCTAGTAACACTTACAAGGCCAACGAGACAAGCATTTTCTTGGGAATCCGTGTTATCTTGAACAATCAGGTTTAGTACTTGCAGCACTGAACAGATGACCTGAAAAATGAAAGCACATTAGTCCACGGATTAACCAGAAATAAATCTGCTACAGCTTGTTGAATGTGCATAGAGACTGAAGCACTAATGCGATCACACCATAAAGACATACACGAGTTTTGGGAACCTCAAGTAACTCCATCAGAGGAAGCAAACCGTGCTGGGTGACAAAGACAAGCTTCTGGTCTGGCCGTTGATGAAAGAATGCTATTAACTTCTGACAAGCTGATACAATAACATCTTCTGATTCATCTGTTCTTAAAGATGATACCAACTTGCTGAATTCTACAGCCTGCCAATATGATAAGTTCCAAAATATCCGTGAGTCAGGTTTTTCGTTTATCTTGTCTAGAAATTCATATATCACTTAACGGAGATAGAACTTATGTGTAAGCTCTAGTGATATACGAGGAAAATTATCTTATACTTCTCTATAATCTATAAACCTCCATTTTTAATAAAGAAAGAGATATTTTTTAAAATTTTTTATAAACCTCCATAATCTTAACAGTTGATTTTCTTCGTCAAAGAAAAACATAGAAAAACGGTAGCAACCAAGGAATCTATCAAGCAGATGGGTTCTCAATTTTGCTTTCAGAAGAGACAAAAGGGAAGAGATTGTATAATTATTGCTTCAGAATCAGCTCATAAATAACATGCCAGATTTTTATGGTATCAGTACTCCAGGATAAGATTTTATCAACTGTTTTACAGTACAATGCTGTCAAAGAGTTTGAGGACAAAATATTACTTGAATGATGTAGAGGCATTAAAACCATTTTTTAAATAGTGTTTTTGACTCTCTTCCTACATATGTGATGTCTCTTTGTTCTGTTTGTCTGTCAAGATTGAGAAAAGAATTGATAAGCTTGGGAGGAATTTCCTGTGGCAACGCAACAAGGAGAGGAGAACCTTCAACTTGGTGAAATGGAAGACTAACTAAAAACAAGAAAGAAGATGGTTGGGCATTACAGATCTCAGACAACATAAAAGATGCTTGTAAATGAAGTAACTTTGGAGGTTTAATGAAGAGATGGACTCACTGTGGGTGAGTGTAATTAAAAACAAGTATGGTGTTGACGGATAATGGTATTCTAGTATGTTAGAACACCCTTTGAAGTTTCTGTTTGGATGGCCATCGGATCACTTTGGCCTTGCTTTACCCTTGCTTTACGGCCAAAAATGGATTTAAAGTTGGCAATGGTAGAAGCATTGCCAATTGGATGGATGATTGGGCTGGTAATGGCCCTTTGATGAACTTATTCTCTGATTTGTTTCCATTAGCAGTAAACAAAACTTCATCACTACCTGATTACAGAATCAATGGGGTTTTGGAGCATAAACTTCAGAAGGGCTTTTAATGATTGGGAGGTAACGAGGACTGCTCAATTTATTAATCTGTTGAGCATGAATCTGAAGCTATTAGAAACAAAAGATAGCATTACATGGAGGCCCAGCAGCAAAGGAGTGTTCTCTGTGAGTTCTTTTCTTGCTACAAGGATCCGATAAAGGTACTATTTAGCGAAGCCATGGCTATGGAAACAAATTTGGAGGTCCAAAGCTCCAATCAAGGTTTGCTTGCTTCACATGGATAGTGAGCAATGAAGCTCGTCTCACACATGCGAATCTGCAAAAGAGGGGACGTCCTAACTAGGAAATGTGTCCTCTGTGGAAGTCAAGCAGAGAGTACCTGTCATTTGCTTTTGCATTGTCATGTTACTGCACATTATGGCATTTGTATATGAATATGATTGGGCTGCAGTGGGCTATGCCAAGGACAACAGATGACCTTTTGAGGAGATGGACAGAAAGGGAGCTAGGAAGATGAAGCTTCTTTGGTGGGATACTATGCCTGCTTGCATATGGTGGACTATATGGAACAAGAGAAATAGGAGATGCTTTAAAGATAGTGTCAACTCCATTCACAAGATAACGGCAAACTGCATATTTTCTTTTTGCTTTTGCTGTAGACTGGAATATGTAAATGAGGCTGAAATAGTGCTACAGATTTTACAATCACTAAGGGGCTAGCTGATGCTGTCTTTTGCTATTTGGTGTTTCCGTGCTGATATTGTACAGCTAAAACAGCACTGTCTTTGTGCTGAATCATTTACAAATTTACCTTAACTTTTCAAAAAGACAAAGGCGTCCACACACAAATAAGTCAAGAAAACATGTCTACAAGTACCTGAAGGTGAAAAAGATTTTCTGTCGGCAGTTTATCATCAAAGCCCTGAAAGCATCCAAAAAATAAAGAATTAAGATAATGAAAGGAGAAAGACAGTCAGGTATAAAGAATATGCATAAACCAATGAAAAAGAATAAGCACACATACTAAACCATCCATGTCTATTACATCCTCCTTCAACACACCCATCATGATGCTGAGTAAATCACCACCATTTGCTGGTCCTGATTCACTCTCCATTTGTTTCTTAGCAATTGTGGCCCTCAACTTTGTTGCCAAATCATTCTTTCCAGTTTCGGAAACCGCATTGCTTTGAGCAATTTGTGAAGATGATGAAGAAAGAGAAACTTCAGCAGCACGATTCTCCAGGTTCTTCTCCAATGGATGAAACAGGTCATCCAACGAAGCATCACCAGGGGGGTCACTAAATCTGCTCAGTTCATTTCCTCGCGGAACTACTGATGTCTTCACAGCCTTCACAAATTTTCAGATAAGAATAGATACGAATATGATTCAGCATAAAATAACAAGCAGCTAAATAGACGACACAAGAACATTGAGTAACGTTTGATGCAGCGCAAAAGACATAAAGGAGCAAAGAAACACAAGCAGAGTTGAGCTTCAAAATAGATCAGAGATGATCTTGCAAAAAAAAATAAAAAAATCAATCCACTCATAGTAACCAGCGTGAGATGAACGTACATAACATGGATGAAATTATAGAAACAAAAACAAGTGAATACCCCGAAACCAGAGATAAATATTATTTTCTAAATTAGAACTCTGAGCTCAGGCAGGACATGGACTTACCAACCTCTTCCTATAAACTACTATTCATAACACGAAAAACCTAGATTAGTGATGAAGTTAGTCACACCAACACGGTTCCACCAATTAGACTTGATAACAGACATCAAAATCATCCCATTTGCATAGATAACATACAACAAAAGAAAAGGTCATAATTGGATTAAACCTACAACACAAGAGGTGTAAAAGTTACCATCTCCAGCTTATGACAGCTAAATACTAAAGACTTGTTTACTAATTTTCTAACATTGAAAAAGAAGGATCTTGTTCAGCAAGCAGCAAAAAGAAAATAGGAATTATAAGCATATCCTCTACATTTTTCCTCAAAGAAGTTAATTTATTGATATGCATTCAATAGATGCAAAAAAGAACACCTCATCAAAAGTACATTTCAAGCAAAAAACATTAGGAATCCTGTAGTGATTTCTTTGGCAGTGACATTAAGAAATCAACAATAAGAATTATAAGCATAAACTTTACCTTTCTAGGACTATGATCTGGGTTCTTTTGTCCAGAACTGGATGATGCAGAATAAGCATTAATGCCACGTCCTTTTTCTTCAACCTTCTTACCTACATTATTTCCACCCTTGGATTGACTAGATTCAAGCTCACCGTTTGCAAGAACTTTCTCAGGCTCAACCAAGTCTGTTGAACTTTGAAGCGTTGATTCATTATTCACAGCCAATCCATCAGCACAGCTTTGAATAGGAGACTTCTCATGGATTGCTAAAGTTGGAACTTGATCTGACGTAAATTGATCTTCAATATTATCAGTTCTTCCTTCTAAGTGATTACTAGTTGAGCCATCAAACTCTTCTGACTTGCTAATCTCCGAGACTTCAGGTGATGCCAACACTGAACAAGATTCCTGGATTCGGAAAGTATCACTATATTGCTTAACTGATATTTTCATCATATTAAAGAAACTCCAAAGAAAAATACTTTTGCTTTGTCCGAAGAAGAGCTTCCAGCAGCACCCTTATCATCTTCATTCGATGCATCTGTATCAGCCGATCCATCTTCTTCTATATTTCTAAAAGATAACAAATGCAAGAAAAATATGGTGTGGATCAAAAAACTATACCGTCATAGAACGGATATCTAGGGGGAATCCCAGAGGAAAAGTACTAGACTAATGATGACTAAAAGTGTTTTACAATCCCCGAGGCTTGGTCTAGTGGCCCGATAGCAACCCCTGATGTGTGGATTGAACGCAAGTCATGGGTTCGAACCCTAACACAGATAAGATAAGAACCTGGTATTTAAGTGTAAAGTGTAGAGGGGCGGGCCCATTATCCACTGTGTCTCGAACAGTGTGCCACTGACCCTCGGAGGTTTCTCAATTATCAAAGAAAAACTAAGAGTATATTACAAAATCTACCTTAGCGTCCCACTATGACGGAGTGAGGACTGCAAAGCACGCCTTGAGTTTTGTATCCATGGATGTGAAAGTAGTGTCTTAGCATCAGGCCTTTGTCTAGCATCCTGAAACACGCTAATCTGTAGTTACCAAAATCTGTTGGAGTAGTCAAGGGATAAACTAGCAAGAAGACAAAATCATAAAAATTATCAATCTCCAAGGTATCTAAAGCTTCAAGTTTCCATTTAAAAAATGTTTGGACGGATTTCTGCAACTACATTAAAGTCAGAAAATGTAGTTGAAGATTCTCCTCATTACTTTACAACATCAACCATGCCTGCCAAAAAGCCTCATATTGTTCATCATGCCCGCCTCCAAATTCTGACAATATTATAGAACTCCATTACTTTAAAAGTGCCAATTATATAGAGGCCGCTGAACTTGTAGTTCTATTAGATCCACGTCCAACATCAGACTATCATCATCCTTTGAGCATTATAAATGTGAGAGTAAACAACTTAGGTCATGTCACCTGTAACTTCTCATATCTTCCCAATCCAAACGCACAGCAGTCTCCCTTTTGTCTCATTAAGCCAATAAACTAGAAAATATCAAGTACCAAGACTTAATTGATGCAGGATTAATATATTCTATTACCTTCTTAAAACACTGACGCAGAAAATCAGTGATAGCAGGAGAAAGGCTGTCTGGAATTGGGGGATGATCATCCTGGAAATAGACAAGGATCCATTAAATCGATGAAGATCGTAAAAGCAGCCCTTAACCACTCAGTAGCATTTGATTCAAGCTAGTGGAATAAGGAATATCACCACTACCTTAATTCAAAATATTATCCTCGTCTTCCTCATACGTAAAGACAAAAAGACATAGCATAACTAAAACTCACCTGTACAATCCGAAAGAGAGCAGGCATGGGCTGAAGATCATAGTACGGAGGTACACAAGTAAGAAGTTCTATAACTGTACAGCCAACACTCCAGATGTCAGATGCAGCACATACTCCCGACATTTCAATCACCTGAAACACCAGAAAGCATTAAGGATAGATCTTCTAGGTGCAAGTTTCTGCTATCACTAATATAACCAGCAGAATATTTCAACAAATCCCATTCCTTTTTCTAACCAGTGAACTGTCCATTCAAACTATTTGCTTTTGGGGTGGTTTAGCATTCTTTTCCAGAGGAAGAAAGTCTACTTTCAGATTTTTTAATTATTTTGGAACTTCCTGGGAGTCAAATGGCCCATGCCAAACAACACTGCTGATTTATTGAAAAGCTGGATCAGGGCAGGTTCAGAGAGAAGAAAGATAACATGGTGGAACACTACACCAGCTTGAATCTGGTGACTGTTTGGAAAGAAAGGAACTTGAGATGCTTTGAAGATGAGCACAATCACATCCAGAGGATAAAGGACAGCGGCACTTTTTGTTTTACTATTGGTGTAGAATGGAACTGGCAAATGAAGCTGAATCTATTCTACAGCTCCTAGAATCCCTATACATTTAGACAGGGCTATACTTTTGGCACAATGTACATAATTCCAGCAGAGTCCTTTTTTTTTATAAGTGATCGAAGATTTATAAATACTTGCAGTAAGCCGGTGCTAAAAGTCATAATTACAAAATGTGCAGTTCCTCTATTGTATCTAGAAATCCAACTTCATCATGTACAATAAGCAGGTTGAACCAAAAAGCTTGCAAACATATACATCTTTGTTTAAGGCTATGTATGTTTCTCCTGTTGCCTTCAAAAATTATTCTATTTCTTTCAAGCCAAACAGTCCACCAAATGGCTTGAGGAATGGTATTCCAAGTCTTCTGCGATTTCTTATGCAATCCCTCTTAGTACTGTTTATGAGTAAGGACTTGCCATTTCAATTCCAGCACATTCTCAGTGATGTCTGAGTAAAAACTTACCATTTCAAAAGAGAAGTCTACTTTCAACACATCACATTGACATGCTGAATTATGCCTTTTAAAAGGTGGCTTCTTACAAAGGTAAAATAAGTCAAGCTAAGATACAAAGCTTTTAGTTGTACTTGATTTCCTTCTAAGGAACACCATGTGCATGAGTAAATATACAAGATAGAAATCTCAGCTAAGCAGCAGCTAGTCGATAACTAATTCAAAGAAAGTTCTCTTCCCTTCCAGAGGTGAATAACAGGCAAGAAAGAAAAACAAAATGTCAGTCCAAATATAGACACCACGCAAAATAAGTTTTCAAAACCTCAGGTGCCATCCAATATGGTGTTCCAACAACTGAGTGTGTATTAACATCTGCCTCTGTCAATTTTGTTGCAACGCCAAAATCAGCAAGTTTCACCAAACCCTGCAAACAAAAATTATCAAGAAAAAAAAAATTAGGAAAGGCAAACACACACGTCAGCAAAAGTTTACTTGAGCTGATTTTATAATCCAAATGAGAATGGATGGTAACAATGAGATTGGAAATGCAAGTAATTAGCCATGCAGTTATAGAACTCATTAAACTTCTTTCTCCTAAACAAGGGACAAAAGAAATCAGATAATAGCACAATGAGAAAATAACTAATTACTCCAGTCATCTCATTTTATGTGGCGGGGTTCGGAATACGAGGGTCAAACTACTTAATTTTCAGTCTGAATTCGGATATAGATTCTTTGAGTTTTTTAAGTAAAAAATTTCGTATGGTGGAACTACGTAAAAAGAACTACTAGTCCCTATTAGTTAATAAATCGAAATATTTATTTAAAAAAATAAGAAAATTGTGGTCAAAGAAACAACAAAACCTTTCTCTGACTACCCAAATAGTAATAAAGCCACAAAAAATGGAACAAAGAGAGTAGGAATATCCCTGCATGAATGTAGCAAAATTAGAAAAGGGGGTGCGATTAAAAACCTCTTTAGTTGTCAATATATTTGCACCCTTGATATCCCTATGAATTACACCTTGCTCATGTAGATAAACCAACCCTTCCAATACCTACGACAGAACAGAGCCATCAAAAACTGAAACTTCCACAACTAATCTGAGAGACACCTAATTTGGCACTCAATATGAAACCTGAGAGATGTAAACAGCAACCAAAGATTCTGGAAAAGGCCCAAATTTGTTTGGCTTGACAATGTTGGCAAGTGAACCATTCTCTACATACCTTTAAAGGAGTACCAGAATTTCAATTAGTTAGTCTCTTTCAGAAATAAAGCAAAAAAATATGAAAATATGTTTCAAGCTCACTCACTCAAGAATTATGAAAAGATGAGTCTTTGTCTTTAAGGATCCAAGATACTTCACAATGTTTTTGTGGTTCAAATTCTGGAGAACAAAAGAAAATATGATCACACAGGTTTAATTATCCTTACTGAAAAGTATACCTTCAGGTGCATTCTATTTTCCTTTTGTTTCTTTCTCCTCCTTGGGAAGGTTGGGGAATGCTATGATGAGGACCAAAAGAGGTAAGAGATCTTTACCTTAAGCAAATCAATCTCTTGCTGTGACATTAATGCATCCGACCAAGTATAGCATCCAAAGAAAAGAACAACTCGTAAGTCACATTAAGTCAAGAAAATAATACAATTCATCAAATGACACCATGCACATATCAGTAATTATCATACATTAATTTAACACAACCAAATGTTATGGATGATTTGTCGGAAAAACATACTGGAGACATATGGCTTGGAATAAGGAAGACCAACACTAATTAGGAGATCCTATTTTTGGCAAATATTTCATTATAGTAACCTCGTTTCAGGTAAGAAATTCTATTTTGGCAAGCATTTTCAGAATAGTAGTCATTAACTAGTAATTTTGTTTCTAATAAGAGATTCTATTCTTCTAAGAGTCATTAACTAGTAATTTTGTTTCTAACAAGAGATTCTATTTTTCTAAGTATTTTCACTATGAAAGAAGATTTTAATTTTAATCCTTAACTTCAGCTTTCCTATTTTTCCTGTGTGATATCTACTTAAGAGAATGTTCAGAGGAAATATAATTCAAGCATTATTTCTATCAAACAATACAAAGGTTTAATAGCCAGTTTGGCCAAACTTCTGAAAATTTTAAAGTACTTATTTTTTCAAAAAAAAAAAAACTCCTTTTTGGGTGGTTAAAGGTATTAATCATCTTAGAAAAATAATAAGCAATTCTACGTATTAGCACAAGCAGTTCTTCTAGTACAGGAAGAAGTAGAATTTTGTAATTTGTCCTTAAAAGTACAAGGAAAAGTAGAAAAAGTAATTTTTTCCATGACAAAAATATATTATTAAACTTCATATTTACCAAATTACCTCTTATCAATTTAACCATTTGTTTCTCAAACTATATGTTCCGAAATTAAGAAGTTATATAAGATGTGGACTATTATTACTTCTGATGAAGAAATAAATGATTTAACATAGGGCTCAACCGGGTTCGAACATGTCCACTACTATTACTTTGGTTTAACAATATTTATATTGATTACAAATCCTGATGTACTTTGTGATTTTGTCTTCTATATTTAAGTAAATAAAATTGAAAACTTAATTAGGATGATTCATAATTAATATAAAAAAAATTTATCTATTTAAATAATATTATTGTAAAGTAAATGTGAGTTCCATTGCCATTCCTCATAGTCTCTTCAAGAGGCAGAAGCCAGGAACAATAAGGTTGAAGAACAGGAGAAGAAAATATCCCTGTGATTCGACCCCTAACCGGGAGACCTGACAACTTGGTTCCACAACCAATCACTATGGGCAATTCCAACACAAAGAGGAGTTTAGGGATCTGTTTCAGGAAGTGCCGGCATTAACAAAGCAAGATTGGCATAATTTACATCCAGGAGGGAGAAGTGAATCACGCCAACTGAATCTGAATTAGGAAATCAGCTGCTGCAATTGTCACCGCAACTGCAGGAAATCTTTTACGGGACCAATAGGAACCATATCAAGGAATCAGATGTGGGAATTGGTAGCAATAACAACTACAAAAAATCATCAGAACCGAGTTGCCAATTGATTAGAACGGCCAACAGGCCTGGGGGCTGGGAGTGGTGCCAGAGTAAGGAAAAGGAAGCTCAACACTAACCAAGTCCATCTGCACTTGCAAGCAATCATCGTTCAGAAAAGAAAAGGTAGTCATCCTAACATCAATCCATCAATGACAGAAATACACAAGTACAATTGTTAAAGTACTGTCCAAGACGATTAAATCTATTTCAAGGTTCGAAATTTCGCTTTAGATCAACAACCACATAGCCATTGTTGTGTTTGTCTTAGTATAAAACAGACATAATCTTCTTCCAAGCCAGCTGATTTAGGAACACAATTCCCAGATCGTGGGTGCGCGCTTGCAGTAACACAAAGAAAGACAGGAGCCCCAACAAAATAATTATAGTACTAACTACTAACAGTAATCCTGATTGTAAATATTTATACAACTGGCTGTAATTCCAACTTTATATCAAAGGATATAAGTAGCAAAAGCTGGGTTATCAAGAAAACTGAGCAAATTGATTCCCATAGATGCATATTTGCAGACGCAATGTACATGTGGTAACACACGAAGTTGAAAAAAGTCAGGACTTCTACTTTTTTTCTCTTTAGTAAGCAATTAGCTAAGAAGTGACGATGTACCATAATGATGTTGAGATCCTCCTGAGCAATATTCTCTAAAGAGACTTGCTTAATTGCAACAAAGTCTCCATTTTCCAAATCCAGACCTTTATAGACTCGACCATAAGCTCCCTTCCCAATCTCATCTCCAAGCATCTTCAATCCACAAAGACAATTATCAATCAGTCAATCGAACAGCTATGCCTCAACTCCGAAAAGAGCAACAAAATTTGCTTTGAACTCAAATGTAGACAAACATAGAACACATATATTATACTAAGATATATACTACTTTGTTTACACCTTCACAATTTTTAATAGCTCAGCAGAAAAAATCCAAAACCCTGACATGCCCGAGACAAAAAACAACAAAATTTTCCCCTAATAATCCATACCACTAAATATTTCAATCCATAATCTCATCTTTTGTTGTTTGATGACAGTGGTGTCCAACCAGTTTGCACGCACTTCTACTATCTCACCGAGTACCTGCTACTCCCACCAACACAAGTATCGGGTAAACTCTCCCACCTTAGCTTAGACAAATGAGAAGAATCACCTAGTGTTCTTTGCCTCCGCTGGTTGTGTAGCATAATCTCACTTAATTAGAAAATGCAAAAGCTTAACAAGATTGAAACTTTAATTCTAGTTTGCGTTTCTTCAGAGCATACTAGTACTCGAAATGAAGAGGAGCCTTGGAAAATTGGTAAAGTTATCTCCGTGTTAACTATACGTTACGGGTTCGAGCCGTGGAAGCAGCCACTAATGCTTGCATTAGGGTAGGTTGTCTACATCACACCTCTTGGGGTGCGGCCCTTTCCCGAACCCTGCGTAAGTACGGGATGCTTTGTGCACCGGACTACCCTTTATACTAGTACTCGAGATATAGCAACTAAATGAATAACAACAGCAACAACAACAATTATGATTTGGTCACAAACAAGTTGAAGCCGACTATATGGATCTTCACTGACCATGTCACTCTATTTAAACTCATCTCATGCCAACATACGCAATCTCATGCCAATATTATGCAAATACAAATGATAAACAATATTAGAAGTTCTCTGTATAAGAAAAACCTGAAAAATAGAGACAGAGGTAAACATATACATATGAACAAAAATTAAAATGTTTATGTATATAACAACTAGCACTAAATTCTCCTATGTATATCAAATACATAACGTGAATAAATCATTACATATTTGTTATCGAGGGTTTTGGATTTGTGGAACGCAGCATTTGCCATTTGCCTAGACATTTCTGTGCGAATTTATTTCTTCTCCTTTCTTCCCCCACCCACCCCCCTCAAATGCGTTTTTTCAATGAATGAGGGAATGGGTTCTCGAAGTTCTATAATTGCTCCATGAATTCGAATGAAATAGAAAGATAAGATCTCCGGCGGCGGTGAATCGATCGGAAGTTTGAGAATTGAAGAGCTCCGACGGGCCCTGCGTAAAGAAGAAAGAGAAAGGTTTTGAGCCGGGCTTTGGAAGGCCCGAATGGGCCGAAAATGAATTGGTGCGTTTGATCAAATGACCGGCGATGACTGGTAAAAAGTACAACTCGATAGACACTATAAATATTTGTCTTTGGATTTTGGAGGACAGTTATGTCTCGGTTGGAAATTTTAAATTTTTCCCTTTATGGAATTTTATTTATATTATTTCTTTTTAATTAGGGAAAATTGATGTTTTAGTTAGTTATAGCTTTATTCCAATTATAGGTCCTTGATGACGAATTTTCCAACAAGCCTTACGAGTAACTTTAAATAGTTTTTACTCGAGAAGTGTAATTTTTCACTTAGCACATTCAAGGGTGGCTTAACAACCAACAAAGTAGAAAAAGAATCATGAAGCTTCGTATTCAAATTCTAACAAAAATAAAAAAATATTAGGTAATTCTTCCCGTCTATTTAAGCGCACAACTGGCCGAGTGCTACCGTCATACAAAAAAAGGCTTATATATTAAAAATGCTCCAATTCAATCCTTTCATTTTATCATTTTTTTTTTTTCTGTTTCAGTATCACTTGCTCGAGTTTCGAAAACTGCACTTCTCGATTTATATAGGGAAGGCAAATCACTCCTGCAATCTCTTTCTACACAAATTTAGAAGATTTGAACCTCCGAGTGTAAGATACTGATTTCGATACTAGATTAGAAGATGTACTTCTATCTGTTTAGTCAGTTTGTCTAGCATAATTATTTTTGTTATTTTTACATTAACGGCTGATATAATTATTTTTTATATTCGAAGATTACCAAAAATGTTAGATATCGAGCTTATACATGTTTCAATTGTTTACAATAGTTAAGAACTTTATCCTAAAATTGCCGAGTAACCTTTTAAAAGCTCGTCATGCGCTCTCTTTCTTTTGTGCGTGGGGCCTGTGGGGTGTAGAGAGAGGGGGGGGGGGGGGGTAGGGGGAAGGGGAGATATTAGGTTTGGATTAAAATAAAAAGGTTACGTGATTTTTGAACTGTATATATTTTTTATTTTATTAGCAATTTCTCTTTGTTATATTACATAGCACTGACACGATATTTAAATTTCTTCATATAAACTTTATTTTTTATTTGTTATTTATTTTTACTGCTTCATCGATCATTGAAATTATCTTCTTTTTTTCTTATTTCATTATGAAAAAGTATCAAGTTAATGGACATAAAGAAAATTAAATGAAATACAAGTTACAGACAAAGTGAATCTACCGAAAATAATCAGGTAAAAAATATATATTGTGAATTTTTTCTTTTAGAAGCAAACATAATTGCTACATCATTCGGGCAGATTAAGTGCTTTTCTTAGTACTCTTAGCTTGAATCTAATTATATATGATAGTTAATTACTTATTCTACTTTTAACGACTATTACGATCCAAACCCAGACATGGTCGTGATGGCGCCTCTCGTGGGGATAAGGTCAGCCAACTAAACCCAAATCATCCTTTTAAAAACAGTTACACAGTTCATGAGTGGTTTAAATATGATTTAATGGTAATAATTAGCGGAAGTACAACCCGACACAGTCCAAACCGGGGTGTCACAAGTAACGAGCATCTATTAGAGTATGAATACAACTACAAGGTTTGAGATATACAGAACAGGTCTAAAGAACAAAAGGGAGAAAAGCGGTCCGCGAACGCCGGCAGTCACCTCGCTAAACTCCGATAACTCTGTCTCCGATCAGCTCAAAACCCGCTACCGGGTGTATAAATACCTGCATCTGCACACAAGGTGCAGGGAGTAAAGTGAGTACTCCAACTCAGTGAGTAATAAAGGTAAATAATGACTGAGCCGTAAGAAATCACGTAAAGCAAATCATCATGCTGTATAGAAGCAGTAAAAAAAACCTTTTGAGAAAAATAATGAAGCTGTGAAATCTTTAGAAAACGCCTTAGCTCAGTTTAAAACTCTTTTGAAAATGGTTTTTTCAACAGTTATGCAAATGAATGCAAAACGAATAGTGCAGATAAGCACAGAGATCTGCCCCTCGGGCACAACACTCACTTAACAGATAATGCCAGGCAATCAGGTAGATACCCCGTGAAGTAACACAGACAACAGATAATGGCAGACAAATGAAACAAAGTAAACACATAGATCAGTATCATATAGTAACCGCTGCGGCGTGTAGCCCGATCCATATATCGTTGCGGCGTACAGCCCGATCCATATATTTCGTCGACGGCGCTCATTGGGGGTGTGCAGACTCCGGGAGGGGCCCCTTACGGCCCAAGCGCAATATCAAGCCATCTCGTGGCATCAAATCTAGGCCCTCGGCCTCATATCGGTACCAGTATAACACTGCTGCGGCGTGCAGACCGATCCCATTGTATCCTCACAACACAGGCCCTCGGCCTCGCTCAGTCAGATAAAATCATCACAAGCCCCTTGGGCATTTGTAAATTAGTAGTTCTCAGCCCAAAACATCCTTTAAAAATATCATTTAAGTCTCAAAACTGATTAAAAGTGGCTGAGTTTGTAAAACAGTAGATATCAACAGGACCGAGTTCAAGTAGTAAGTCTAAACTGTGAGGAAATAGTGATAAAATCCTCGAAGGGTTCAAATAACTGGCACAAAGCCCAAATATGACAATCAGTCCAAATCATAATGATAACAAATAAGTTTCAGTCAAATACGCGGTAAAATCATCAAGCGGGACGGACCAAGTCACAATCCCCAGTAGTAAATGACCCCGCGCTCATCATCAAGCGCGTGTCTCACCTCAATATAGCACTACGATGTGCAAATCCGGGGTTTCAAACCCTCAGAATATCATTTACAATCATTACTTACCTCGAACCGGCTACAACTCTAGCTCGCGACGCCTTTGCCCTTCGAATCGGCATCCACGGACGTCGAATCTATCCAAAATCAGAACGAATACGTCACAATATGCTAAGGGAACAAAGCCCAAGCGAAAACAATCGAAAAATATCAAAAATCCCGAAATTAGCAAAACCCGAGCCCCGGGCCCACTTCTCGAAACTCAGAAATTCTTACATCAACGGGTTCCTTATCTCCTCACGAGTTCATACATACCAAAAGTTCTCAAATCCGACCCCAATTGGTCCTTCAAATCTCCAAATTAAATTTCAAAATCCCAAGCCCTAGACCTCCATTTTAGCCTTTCATTTCCTTTAATTACAGCCCTAAATCCATGAAAATCTACCATAGAATTGAGTTTTAGGTCCAGAAATCCTTACCTCAACGAAGTCTCTTTGATTCCTCTATTCAAAATCACCCAAAGCTCCCAATTCCGAGTGCAAAAATGGTTAAACCCATCAAAAATCGCGAAGGAAGACATATATACATTCTGCCCATACATAACCGCATCTGCGGTCCAAAAATCCGCTTTTGCGGTACCGCATATGCGGTCAACACACCCGTTTCTGCGGAGTTCATTAAACCGGCCTAAGCCGCATCTGCGAGCCTCTTCCGCATCTGCGCTTTCGCAGATGCGATCCCTTTAGCCGCTTCTGCGATCCAGCTCGCCTGACCCATTTTCGCTTCTGCGATGAAACACCCGCATCTGCGATCCACAAACCGCGGATGCGAAAATACCAGAAGCAACAAAACTGAAGCTGCAACACAAATTCCAATTTTTCCGCTAACCATCCGAAATTACCCCGAGGCCCTCGGGACCTCAACCAAAAGCACAAACATGACCCAATATCTTATTCAAACTTGTTCCAATCATCAAAACACCTCAAACAACACCAAATCCACCAATTCATATCGAATTCAAGCCTAAGTTTTCTAAAAACTTCCGAAACACGCTTTTGATCAAAAACCCAACCAAACCACGTCCGAATGACCTGAAATTTTGCGCACACGTCCCAAATGACATAACGAAGCTATTGAAACTCTCGGAATTCCATTCCAACCCTCAGATCAAAATCTCACTTACTAACCGGAAATCGACAAAATATCAACTTCGCCAATTCAAGCCTAATTCTACTCCGAACCTCCAAAACCCATTCCGATCACACTCCTAAGTCACAAATCACCTAAGTAAAAAAATGATAGGAATTCATTTCTTGTGTCAAAAAAGAACGAATGTAAGGGTAAAGAAAAGAGACTTCAAAGAAAATATTTCTAGACGACTATGAAATATGATAAATGTTTCACGGAGACGCAAAAAGTTGTAAATTTTTCTTTCTATCTCTTATATTTATACTTCTTTTTCATTCTGTTTGATAGTGTGTTTTTAGCCGACAAAACTAGTTAATGTGTTATTTAGAAATTGCTCATGTATTATTTATTATTGTCTAAGTGATTTCCATTTGATCGCTTATTAGTTATTTTTTTGAAAGGAAAACGGAGATTCTATTACTAAACAAAGATTACATAGTCCCTAAGGACATTACCGTTTCCTAACTTAGCAAGGCTATTACAAATAGTAGAAGGAAGATACTTAGTACTATTACAAACTAATAAAATTTTCCGCGCTTCGCGCAGTTTTAATTGAATTTAATTGATATTTGTTTGAATTTACTTGAGATAAAAATAGATAATTTATCCATAAGCATTTATAAGTTGATTACATCACAGATAGTATTTTATTATCATCATGAACAGTTTAGACAATTTAATAGAACGTCGTGTTATTACATGCATTACTGTAAAATAACTAAGTATTGGCTTGGCAATATTGCTAAAGTTTCTAAACTCTTCAATTGGTTTATGTTCATACTCTAAATAAAATAGGTTCTAACATATAAAATTTATTTAACGTAGACGATAAAAATAATCATAAAATATGTGTGCTTCTTGAATTTCAATCAAATTCATATAAACATTAGAGAAGAAAATACGAGAAAAAGTATTTAGAGTCTTCTGGATAGAAAAAGGTAACGTTAACTCCTCTTGCATTTCATTTCGTTTAAATGTTGTTTATAAATAATAAATTATTTGTTATAATATAATAATATTTATTAATAAATGTATTTAGAGACTTTGAGCTTTAATGAGAAGAAAGAAAGTTAAAATTGTAAGACGAATGATTTTGGGTGTCACATAATTACTAAGCAAAATGATAAATATCTAATTAATAATCA